CTCTGCTCTGCTCCGGTGAGACCCCTCCTGCAGTACTGTGTCCAGCTCTGGAGCCCTCAGAACAAGAAAGACATGGACCTGTTGGAGTGGGTCCAGAGGAGGGCCATGAAAATGATCAGAGGGCTGGAACACCTCTCCTATGAAGAAAGGCTGAGAGAGTTGGGGTTATTCAGCCTGCAGAAGAGAAGGCTTTGGGGAGACCTTCTTGCAGCCTTTCAGTATTTAAAGGGGGCTTATGAGAAAGATGGCAGCAAACTTTTTAGCAGGACCTGTTGCAACAGGACAGGGGGGAATGGTTTTAAACTAAAAGAGGGTAGATTCAGACTAGATATAAGGAAGAAATTTTTTCCAATGAGGGTAGTGAAACACTGAAACATGTTGCCCAGAGAGGTGGTAGATGCCCCATCCCTGGAAACATTCAAGGTCAGGTTGGAAATGGCTCTGAGCAGCCTGATCTAGTTGAAGATGTCCCTGCTCATTGCAGGAGTGTTGGACTAGATGACCTTTAAAGGTCCCTTCCAACCCAAACTATTCTATGGTTCTATGATTCCAGCTTGCAATGCAAGATGCGTTTTGCATGGCTTACGTGAAATCCTCAATCATATCACTTAGTTTCACTTGCAGTGTTATCATATCAAGACCTTAATCCTTTTATTTATTTAATCCTCCTTCTCATTGTACAACTTCTTTGGGATTATAAAATCATGGACTGGCATACACAATCTCTGTGCATTGCAATGAACACCACAAGAGAGATACTATTACATGCCTTTAAAACATCAGAGTCACTCTATGGCACAGTAACTTAGTAAATATGACTATGACTTTTACCTATCAATGTAAAAAAGATTAATATTCAAAGGCGAAGGAAGCAACTACCAAACTGTTAGTACCACGGTAATGAAAATGTCTCATAAAAGCACTTTCTTAGAATGACAAGGTTTTGGAGCAGGAAAGAAAAGGAGAATACCAACTGAGAATTAAAATATTGGGAATCTATTTAGTAAAAAACATTTTAAATATTTTTCAGAACATTCTCAGAAACCAAAAGATAGGGCTTGAAGAGTGGTTGCATGCAGCCAGGAACAAACTCAATCTCAAGCACTTCACTATTATTCAAAGTACACTTGAAATTTGGATTTAAATGGATTTGCTCAAAGCCTTTTAATCATGTTTTCAATCTCCTTAACTAAGAAAAATTTGTACTCTGAGTATAGGACAGGTAGTGCACATCCACAAGAAAAGAGCAATCATTGTATGCTTGCCTCCACCTGAGTAACGAATGCGGATCCTAGTGCCTCTGCTTTCAGGGAGTTTTGGTGTAGAGTAACAGGTAATAAAAAGCAGGTTCTTAAAAAGGTTTGTCCTCTCAGCCCTCCACTGACATCAAATAATTAGCCCCCCCCAAACTATGTTTTGTTGTGTTCCATATGAAGTGATTTGGAAAAGGATATGGCAGTTTACTTAAACAAAGTGGACCAACCTTTCCTCTAAGCTATTTCTGTGCAGTCCCATCAATCCCACTGAAGATTTTTGGTGTGGATAAGAAAGCAGCTTTGGCCTAAATCATGTGTTTAGAAGCTGGGTTCATTTGTAAAGGCAAATTCAGGTGTGAAAAAAGTCCAGGGCATGCTTGCAGCGCCTTTGGGGCAGAAGTCCTGAGGGGTGCCTCAGCCTGAAGTGGGGTGACATGCCTTCTGGTCACACTGGGAACAAAGTGAGAGGTGCCAGAGCACCTTCTAGGAGCTGCTGTCATTTGCACAAAGGTCATGCTCTGAAGTGGATGGGCATGAAAACTCACCGCCTCCGGAACCAGCTTAGGGAGCATTTACCAACAAGCAAATAGCTATCTGAACTAAGGGCCTCGCAGGTGGTCTCAGAGACACAACCACTACCAGTCAGATGGACCAAGCAACTGAATTTCTGCCTGGCAATACAGGGCTTATGCCAGATGTGTGATTTTTGGCAGCTTTGGAAGGACGTGCACTGAGCCAGTTTAAAATTATGGTGAATTCTTCTCATTAGCTTGCACTGACTGAACCGCCAAGAGGTGCCACCAACGTGGTGCCATCCATGGCCACATGCTTCTGTCTCTTCTCTTGCACTGACTGTAGACTCCGTGGTAGTGTATGGGTACATGAGTTGGATCATTACCCTGAGCAAACTGAAAACCAGCTCTACAGAAAAGTGCTTAGTTTTCAGTTGGACCAGCAGTCTGACCTGACCTGCACCCTCATTGTTGGGGCCAGCACAAGGAGGGAGGTGAAAACAGGATTGCTTTTTTAGCTGCAGTCACAGATTACTTGGGCTTCAGTTTATGACAAGACCAGAAAATGATGGAGTCTGAGTGTTGCTGACAAGACAATGTCTTACCTGGCATAAAGCCTGACAGTGCAAAGCTAACCTCTTGGCATTTTTAAACACATTCAAACCTGCAGACTGAATTGATCTCAGCTCAGGGCACTTTGTGCTGTGACCATGGTATTTTTTATCTGGTGCTAATAGCCAGTTCTAATATATTGTCAAATCACAGCCCCAGTAAGCTGAACATGGCAGCAGTATAAGCTAGTGGTGTTAGACAGAAGGAAAATGCACATCAAGCTGCCATAAATTCAGCTAATAGTTTGCACACTACATACATATATGTCTTTGAGGCATATAAGACCCAGTCACTTGAAGAGTAACAGCCTTTTTTTCATTGCTGTAAAGTATTAATTTTGTGACTCTAAAATATCCCGTTCCTGGCAGTAAGATCCATTTATTCCTAGCTCAGCCCAGGATTCAAACTGACAGCTGCACCATTGTAAGTGATTCTCTCAACAATTGTTCTTTAAAGACATACTCAGAAGAAATGTAAATTGCCAATCATCAGTAGGTATGATAACAGAGTCCCCCGCTGAGCTTCTGGTAGCAAAGTACTTTGATGCCTGTGTAGGCTATTACCCCCTCGCCCTCTGAATGCCTGAGCAGATGCAACACATCTGTTAGTTGGGCTCAGTCCCATTGTTAATCCAAGCTCCACAAATGGTTACTTTCTTCCTTTAAATGTGGATTATTTTCCATGGGAATGATTATTCTCAGTTGAATGCTCAGTTTGGAGGCACAGGCTGGAGCTGAGCTGGAGGGAGGTGAGACAGCAGGCGAGGAGTCCTGAGTCTTCCTCAGCCAGAGCGGGTAAGCACGGGGTCACCTCACTCCTTGCAGCCATGTTCACAGGACTGGTCCTTTTAGAAGTGGTTCGGAGATATGGGAAAATGATCCTTTTAGCTACCCGAGACATTCACATTTGCATTTTGCTTTATTATGATGATTGTTTGTGCACAGCAAAAAGAAAAGCAGTCTAGAAGTCATAAGGAAATGTATCAGTCGAGTGACAAAAAAGGAGATAATATTTCTTGGTCTCATTTTTTACTTCTACTGAACACAGCTGTAAGGCTGAAGGGAGGAGTATTATAAGATAAAAGTGTAACCTTTGAATATGTACATTTAAAGATAGATAAAGTTATATCAATTTGTAGAGTAACTTTGCTCTTCATTCCATTCCTTATCATAACATCTCTAACAAAAACAAGTTGGGTTATATGTATTGACACATATCTTTTAGACAGCTAGAGGAAAATACATCCCTTAGGCAATGAGATTGCAGGCTTTCTATATAATGAGCTATCTGATCACAAGACAAGAGAATTATGTACTTTCTTATAACTTCAAACTAAAAAACACACCTAAAATTAGCATGTATATATGAGTGATTTTAGTGGAGATATATGTCTGTTCCCCTGGAATCAATTGAAATTCTTATCAATCTACACCTATCCTTTCTGCAAGCAATGAAATTATAACTCATACAGCCAGAATGTATCCTGTGGTTACAGGAGTTGCTGTTTCATTGAAGTATAACTTCAGGTACCCAGAAAGAAGGAATAAAGCAAAGGTAAAAAGAAGTTCTTTTAAACTAATCTGTCAATAGGCAACAACAGTTTTATGTCAAGAAGAAAGGCAAATAGTAGAAAAACCCACAATCAAAAGAAGCAGTTGTAGCTCACCAAAATCAGTGCCAATGCTTTCCAGTTCATGCACACACAGTTAACCAAGTCATCTCCTGACTTACATCAGGCTGTGCCACCATACTATCCCACGGTCGCATCTCACTGTACTTTCTACCTTGTTTATTAACATCTTTCAAACTTTCTTTAATGTAGAGACTAGGGAATACCATATACTAGAATTAAATTATTTACAGAAGAAAGACTCCTTTTACAGTGGGTTTTTTTTTTCTAATTTTTTAATTATTTCTTGTTCACTTCATTTCAGCTATCCTGGGTATCCCTGAAGGTTGGTTTTTTCCTTTATCCAAAACAAATTTACACAATAGATGAAATTTCTTATAATAATCAGATTTTATTGATAATGCCTTTTTTTCCTGGCTCTGTAAAATTTAATTGATATTTCAGAGTAAACATCAAATAATGAAGATCTAATTAAATATTGAGAATTTGAGGAGTAGGAATAAATCTTTTTTTTGTTTTTTTTTTTTTTTTTTTGCATTACTTTTGGCTTTTGGAAATTCTTTTAGGGTGGCTGTTAGAGCAGATAATCTAAATAGGCTTCAGGTTCAATTACTCTACAGACTATACTAAGCTAAAGGGGGAGATCTAATGTGGTTGGAAAAAATGGCTTTAGACGCCTTCTTTTCCACTTGAATCAACACCTCCTTCCAGCTTGAGAAACTGCAAATTCTCAGGTCTATAACAGTTAGCTTACTGGGATGTCACCTGGAAAGAGTAATTTAACAAACACTAGGAGGAATTTGGAGCCAGGTTTTTTTTCTTCTTCTTACTGTAGAAAACCTTTCTGAATCAAATATTGATCAGAAATTCCCAGCTGAAGAATCTGTCCGTAGTTTTGCTTTGGCCCTAGAGATTTAGGAATGCACATGTTCCTTCCAAGATGAGTGATAACCTTCTGCCCCTCTTCTGTCTACCTCTGTATTCCCCCAGGTTACCAAGATGTTGGCCGTGGTGGTAGTCCTATTTGCATTTCTGTGGATGCCCTACCGCACGCTGGTGGTGGTCAATTCCTTTCTCTCAAGCCCCTTCCAAGAAAACTGGTTCCTGCTATTTTGCAGAATCTGTATTTACTTAAATAGTGCCATCAATCCTGTAATTTACAATCTCATGTCCCAGAAATTCAGAGCAGCCTTCAGGAAACTCTGCAACTGCCAGCAGAAACGGGACAAGAAACCTGCCAACTACAGCGTGGCCCTAAATTATAATGTCATCAAGGAGTCTGATCACTTCAGCACTGAACTAGAAGATATTACCGTCACCAATACCTATCTGTCCTCTGCAAAATTGCCTGTTGGTGATACGTGTTTGTCATCTGAGGTAACAGTTAATACATTTTAATGCTTGGTGTACAGTCCTCATGAACCAGAGCATGTTCACGTGGATGGGGCTGTGATGGGATAGCGTTTAGCTGGGGCAGAGCAGTGAAGGACCAGGAAAGGCTGGCGGTGACAGATGATGCACCACCAAAAGGGCAAGGTCACTGCATGGAGGGGAGGGAGAACTGCCCAGCTCTGGAAAGTGATCCTCTCAAAGTGCCTTGTGCCCAGCATGATGTGACTGGGAAGATCTGGGGTATGGGGAATGATGCGGAGAAACACGTAGGTTAAGCCTTACTCCCTGAGGAGTAGAGGGCAATGGTGAAGCATAAGAGAGTGGTGCTCGGGCACGATGCCTCACGCACGTGTCTGAGGAGGGTGGGCATTGGTGTCTGAGCTCGGTGATTCCTCCTGGGCTGTGCTCTGGCGACTGCAGCAGGGCAATGGGGCATTTTCTTGTGCCTCACCCCCTGGCTCCAACTTGGGGTTAGCTAGCCCAGTGCAACCACGCGGCTGGAGTGAAGAGAAGGCATGGATCCCCCCACACCAGCACTCTGGTCATGAGAGTGCTGAAAGCCACATCAATTTCCATGCTACCTGCATCATCCCTGTATGTGGCACAACTTTCTAACCCAGCTGTCTTCTACATGATGATGCATATTACTGTTTTCACAATGCTTTTTTACATAATACTACCTAAATGTTGTTCATAAGCCTGTATACCTTAGATCTTACAATATAGATGATCCACAGAGAGACTTAGTTTTTAATTTCCTTTTGAGATGATATGAAAATGAAAAATATTTCTTTTTCAGTTTGCTTCTACTCTCCTAACTTTCAGGCCTGAAGCCCACCTTGTTCTGAGTATGTAGTCATATAAAACCTTTGGATGCTCTGTTCCCACCAACCTGTATGAAATGTAATGGCATTTCTGCTCACGGAATTGCAAGAATTACCATATATCTCTACACACCTGTCTGCGTCCTACAAGAAAAATCAGCCGCTTGGGGAATGAAAAGAATATACTACTGAGTCTAACTGAATGAAGCACTTAACACAACAAAACTTTAAGCTTTAGTGGAATACCCAAATCCTTCATCTCATGTGTTGGCCAAAGAGTGGTCTGCGCTCTCAGAAAGAGGCAAGGCTGCCCAGGACATGTCCACGAACGCAGAGCGGGGCAGTGGGTGATGTTCCCAGTGAAGGTGAGAGGCGAGGAGAGGAGCTGTTCTCCTGCATGGCTGCTGCGTGTCCCAAGAGCACTGGCACCGCACTGGGCAGTGCCAGCGGGGCCCGTCCAGCAGCCAGAACTGATGCTGATTACGGTAATTATCTGACATTGACTCCCTCATCCCACAGCACTGCAAATCTAATTGCAGGCATCATAACACGCTTTAACAAGCAGATATCTGATGGCAAAGAGCACGAAAACTTTTTTTTTTTTTTTTTTTACCTTGAACTGCATGAAATAGGAAGACCATTCAATGAATTCAAAGCAGGGAATAAACAAATTAAAAAGTCATTAGGAAGCTTTAAAAAATAATTATTTTTTTCAGCAAGCTAGTTTATAGATGTACTACTTTAAATGTAAGTCTCAGCTAATACTGAATCCTGTCTGCGCTTGGCAGATATTGAAGAGTATTGGACAGGCTTTTACTAGTTAATTTTATCCTGGTTTAATAGTAATTGTGTGTCACACCACTACAGGGGGCCTATAGCTTCAATATAGATAATGTCTAGGGAAAAGAGGAAAATTTAGTGAAAAATGTAACTTTTTTCATTTTTTGTCTCAAAGGTTATCCATTAGAATGCTTCAGGACATAAAAAAGTGTTTTGAAAGACTGGCTGTATATTTGGCTAGAAAGAGAAAATACTGTGAAAGCATTGCTACCTTTTCTTAATTTTCTGAGTTCATTGTAATGTTTCCTTTACATTATGACCTTTAGCCTTGGTCTTGATAATGTGGAACCAGAGACAAAAAGAGATCAGTTTCTAGGCTGTACTCACCCTGCTTGCTCTGGCTGCAGCTGAGGTTACCGATCTCCACGGCTCATCCCTGTTCCCTGCGAGAAGCCACCACGGCTTCTCATTTGCCAGCATAGCCGCTTGCATGCTCTTCCTGCACGGCTGGTGACAAGCAGCCTGGGGCCACAATCTCCCCGATCCCCAGCTGCAGTCTGAACTCAGTGTATCACTTTGGCTTTGCTCTAGACCATCTCAAGTTCTTGCTAGATTTACATTTTCCCATTCCTGTGCAGCAGTAACAGAAACTTGGGAAGATGCTTGCATGTTCTTGTTTGTTATGAAAGTTTTGCACAGCTTTTGTACATGACATTTAAAAAGCTATATAAAACCTAATTGCTCTGGTAAAAATTCTACCCAGTGGGATAAAAGAGGTACCCTCACTAGCACTGTAAGGCTTTCCGATCCAGTTTTTCTTCTCACATGCAGCCGCTTCCCCAATTCAAACCACTTTCCCTTATATTCAGCCATATCTGCAAACTTAAAGAGAACTGAAAATATACCAGTAGCTCTTAGATTTAAATTTCAATGCAAACCCATGTCTGCTGCATCCAAAAGCCTCCATTTGATGTTCTCTGAATGGCAAGGAGGAAGGGAACAGTCTGTATCCTTCTCAGTCTGCATCCTTGCTTTAACATCTGTGTTAATGTTGCAGAGCTCCACAGGTACTTTCTAGCTCGGCAGAGTGATGGCAGGGCATGGAAGGACCAGCAGCAGGAGGTTTTTGACCAGCAGTACAGACATGACAAACTTACTCCAGAAAGCCCTTTCTATCTTTTTTTTCCATCAGCACTTGCCTTTTCATTTTGGCAAGCAGAGAGAGCGAGATGATGGGGGTATCCTGCTTCTTGAGACTTTTACCTCAAATTATGGGGATTCAGTTTTAAACCGGCAGAACACCATGCCATAGGCAGGCTGTGTGCTGGAGCCTCTCCTCTGAAGCACAGGCTCTGGCAGAGCTTTGGCGGGAGCAGAGCCAGCAGCTGAACCCGTGCGGGCTGTGTTGCAATGTTTTCTAGATCCTCTGCATTGGCGCCCACACAACTGGAAAGTCCTTCTCTGCAGAGCTGCTCTCAATCCCGTCATCCCCCAGTCTGTATTGATAACCAGGGGGTTGCTCAGGTGCAGGACCTTGCCTTGTTGAACCTCATGAGGTTCACACGGGCCCACTTCTCGAGCTTGTCCATGTCCCCCTGGGTGGCATCCTGTCCCTCAGGCATGTCAACCGCACCACTCAGCTTGGTGTCATCTGCAAACTTGCTGAGGGTGCACTTGATCCCACTATGTCATTGATGAAGATATTAAACAGTCACAATTCGGACCCCTGCAGGACATCACTACCGATCTCCATCTGGACATTGAGCCATTGACTACTACCCTCTGGATGCAACCATCCAACCAATTCCTCACCCACCGGACAGTCCACCCATCAAATCCATATCTGTCCAATTTAGAGAGAAGGATGTTGTTGGGGACCGGGTCAAAGGCCTTACAGAGGTCCAGATAGACGACATCTGTAGCTCTTCCCACGTCCACTGATGTCACTCCGTCAAAGCAACTGTTTCCTCCAAAGCAACTCTCACAGTAAAATGAAATTATCTGGGAAATCTTACACAGACATTTATATTTACTTAGTCAAGAGGCACATTCAAAATAAAAGCAAGTTCCTGTGTCTGACCGAGCAACGCCTTCATGTGCAGTCAGCCAGCACCACTCACAGCTGATCAAAGCAGATCCACGGGTTGATACTGGAGGGAGAGGGTGCAGAGGCAGCTGCTGGTGGGGCTGGCACATGGAAATCCTTTCACTCTTCAAATACTGTTATCAGTTAGGCATCTATCCAGTGCTTTCAGACCAGCCCGTACCTCCCAGACTTTCTAAAGAGGTGCCAGAACTAGGTCCTTTTCTTACTTAAAAAGCAAGCAGTCCTCCAGGACAAGCAGCAGGCAAAGGGAATGCATACCACAGAAACCTGGTTATACTGTTGGGAGCACAATCGGCTGGGCTAAGAACTGACCTAAGTATTCATGTAATAACAGTAACACAAACTTACAGCTTTATCTTGACCATTTTCAGAGTACAGACTGAACTACAGCTCTCACAGATTGACAGTATCAGAAGTAAATTCTCTCCTTTATTTGCCTTTTTGCTCAAAAAGTAACTTTCTGCTTTCTCAGCCCCTGTCTCCATGGTTCTTTTTTTTCAGATGCTCAGGTGAGGTATTTAAGCCCATATTCTTAATGAGGTTTCATCAAGGGCTACAATCTGTGTAGGTGATTTTGTATGCACCATCAGTTGGAATAACAAATGAAAAGGAATGATTTCATGCTGATATTTATTTGCGCAAACAGAAATGATTATGCATGTGAAATTGTGTGCACAAATGCAATATATAAAAATGCAGATTTAAGTTAAGATGTGATTTTAACTCATAATTTGCTGTGACTATGTCTTTATAGATATTATTTGTGAAATCCATTCTAATTTTATACTAATTCCTACACCTTACACTATGAAACTTTGCTAGATATTATGCTAACGTAATTTTAGATCTATTTCTGTGTTCGCCCTTCTGCTTATAACAGCAACCAACCTTTCTTCTTGTACATAGTTGTTATATATTAGGTATGTGGCCATGTCTATTTAAAAATGTGCGTGATTTTAAGTTTATTAATAATACAACAAACTTTTTTGCTGGAAGTGGAAGTGACTGGATGTCAACTACTGACTGCAGTAATGTAATTATTCATCTTTATATACTTATTTTGTGGATGACAAATTCCTCTGCAACATTTAGTTTGAAAGGATTGTCTGAATGGTAACAATAATGAAATCCATATCTGTATCATCATTTAATGGCTTTGATGTAAGAGATTGTATTCTTATTGCATCTTTATTTGGAACTTTACCCAGCATGTAGCAGAAGAGATGCTGCTGTAGTATCTCACTTTTAGAGCTACACTGCTTCCAGCGTGAAAT